CCGTGGGCAGGGGGATGAGAGGCTGGTCCTGAAGCCCTGGGCTTGTCTGCAGTGAGGGCAGGCGGGAATCTGTGGGCCTCCCCTCCCTTGGATGCCCTGCCCCTTTTCAGCAGGTGGTTCCAGGCCATGGGCTGGTGGGCAAATTCACAATGTCTCTCCTGCTCAGCCAGAGGCGAGGGGGCTGCTCAGGGCATCGGCTGCAACCCTGGCTGATGTCCAAGGCAAAGGTGGACTAGATCATGCCAAGACAGGGTCACTTCATGACCAGGCAGAGGCCAGATGGCCTGTCTGTACCTCCACCAGGCTGACACAACACCGTGTCACTGTCTTATTCTCTCTTTTTCCCCCTGTCTCAGTCTCTCACTCCATCTCTGTCTGTCTGCCCCTCCCTCTGCCTATCTCGCGTGTGTGTGTGTGTGTGTGTGTGTGTGTGTGTGTGTGTTTCTCCAGGGTCTTCATGATTGGTCCTTTCTCCCCCTCCGACCCTGTTCTGAATCGAGGCCCCAGCCACACCTCCCCCTGAGCATCGGTAGCACCTCTCACAGCATCTTCACCCGACCTGTCCACCTTCTTACTGTGTCCCCCTTCCCCCAATCTCCTGGGAACCCCTGTTCATGTGTCCCAGTCCTCTCTAATCTGGGGCTCAGGCCCCTCCCCAGCACAGACCTCTAGGACCCCTTCCAGCTGTCCAGCCCTGGAGCACTTGAGGCCTGACCTGGGTCCAGCCCCTGTGTGTCCCAGCATCCAGCCCGGGCAGGCCCGCAGGAGCATCTGAAAGGGCTGGGGGGAGTGAAGTTTGAGCAGCGGACTCATCCTCATTTATTCAGTGTGTGATGTGATGAAGCAGCTTCCCTGTGCCCCGCTTGGTGCTAAATGACGTCCACGTGGGATCTCACTTTCTTTTCAGAACACGCGAAGGGCTGGGGCGGTCTGCCCATCTTGTAGATGAGGAAACTGAGGCTCTAAAGCAGTAAGAAACTCAGATCAGATGTGAATAAAAGGTGAGTCAGGTCTGAAACCAGGCTGGATGGCTCCAAAGACCAGACAGTTTATTTTTGACACTGTCCCAGCCTAGATGTGTGGTCTGTTCCTACCAGGGATCCATCAAGACAGGGCTGTAGTAACTGACAGATGAGGAGACCAAGGCTCAGGGGGCGGTAAAGGGACCTGCCCAAACTAAGGGCAGCACTCCGGTGATGCGGTGCCAGGCAGGATGCAGCCCGGCACTCGGAGGAGTCCCCACAGGATCTTCTCGGTCACCCGAGTAAAGCCAAGGTCACACAGCAGTCAGCTCTGAGCCAGGACTCGCACCCAAGTCCTCCGACTTCACTAGTCCACAGCCTGAACCAAACCCGGCTGTTGACTACGGCTTCCTACTCAGGGCCTGCTTCCTGGGCCAGACCCGGAACAGAATCCAGACTCTTAGTAGAGCCCCCCACGCACTGTGCTGCCACCTCTGGACCTTTGCCCAGGCTGTTCCCTATGTCAGGAACACTGTGCCCTTTCCTCCTGGAAATTCAGATTTGGATTCAGAGCCCAGCTGAGACATGAGTCTTCTAGAGGAAGTTCAGGAGAGTAGACCTGCTCACTGCCATGTCATTTACCATCTCTGTGCCTCAGTTTCCTTTTTTGTGTTGGAGTCTCACATTACAGGCTCTTTGCGAGAGTCACTTGCCATGGTAGCTGCACTGGGTTGAGTTCAAGGCCGGCTCACGGTGCTCTCGGTCATTGAAAGCTGCTGTTGGTAAACACGTGAGAAAACCTACCTGATCACATGAGGAGGAATGAATAACTGCTCTGTGTTTCCCTCTAGGAGTGGCGGCTCAGGAGCTGCAGGTGACTCAGCCTGAGACGTCAGTGTCAGTCGCAGCTGGAGAGACGGCCACTCTGCGCTGCACCGTGACTTCCCTGAGCCCCGTGGGGCCCATCAAGTGGTTCAGGGGCACAGGGCCAGGCCATGAGTTAATCTATGATTTCAAAGGAGGCCACGTCTCCCGAGTAACAAATGCTTCAGACACCACAAGGAGAGACAACCTGGACTTTTCCATCCGCATCAGTAACATCACCCCGGCAGACGCCGGTGCCTACTACTGTGTGAAGTTCCAGAGAGGAAGCCCTAATGACACAGAGTATAAGTCTGGACCAGGCACTCGGCTCACTGTGAGTGGTGAGTACACGTGGGCCCCTCATCCCCTGTTCTGTGACGTGTCAACAAAATGCCCTCCTGTCTTTGAGCAAAAATAAGAATCAGGTGCAGCAGTGGGTGCTTTATCATGACTGGGTCATGATCTGATTTCCCTCTTGTCTACAGGGAAGTTGAGGCCTGGAGAGGTCGTGCTATCTACTCATGGCCTCACAGATGGTAGAGGTGGGAAAAGTCTAGAAACCCAGGCTGCCTGGTTCTACATCCCTTGGCTTTTCAGTCCCTTCCAGCCCTTTGGTTCCAGGGATGAGGGAGCTGAAAGTCTGAGTGACTCGCCCCGTCACAGGGCGGACTTCACCCACTGCCTCCAGAAAGTGCTCCCCTCAGAGTGGCTAAGTCTTCTCTTTATTCAGCACTTACTGAGCACCTACTGTGTGCCCATCCTTGCTCTGGATGCCACGGAATCAGGGGTGAGCAAAGCAGACAAGGGCTCTTCTCCCATGAAGCTTTTATTCTCTTCCCTTCCAATGCGGAGAGTACATCCCGGCCCGGGAAGGGCGGTGGGGAGAATGTGTTTCTTCATTTCATCCTCAGAGATGTCACACTGAGAAGAAATAACTAAGGGCACAGATTCGCTGTTGACTCTGACGGCTCTGGTTGGAGGAGGTGCCCAGAGGTTGGGTGTTAGCGCTAGGAAAACCCTCATGTGACTCGGTCACTGAAGGCTCCAAGCAGAGCTGTCCCATCTCAGAATGTCCTGCACCCAGGACAGAGGTTCCCCATGTGA